TGGAGGTAGTGGGATCTCTGAGTTCAAAGCCAGTCTGGTGTACAAACCGAGTTCCAGGACAGCCAAAGAATCCCTGTATCAACAAACAAACAAAAGAAAACCAAAACTAAAACCAATACAAACAAAAAAACCAAGAGCCAAAAAACAAGCAGAGTTTACTAGAACTCTCTCCTGTTCCTCTACCTACCAAGTATGGGGACTACAGGATTGGACCAGCATGGCCAGTTTGTGCAGTGTTGGGGATCAAACTTAGGGCTTCCTGGAAGCTTTCACCTTATCAACTGAGCTATCCATGCCACGGTGTCCATCTTTATTAAACTTTCATAACATGACCAGAGAGATGGTTTAGCAGGTAAGCCACTTGCCATTCAGTCTGACAACCTGAGTTCAGTTCTCAAAGTTGCCTCCTAACCTTCACACATGGGTCCTACCACAAACCACCATAAAAATTAACGCAATTTTAAAAACCTGTGTATCATTTCTGGCCTGGTAAGATACTTTGTTCTCTTTGGGTACTGCAGTACTTTTTACCTCTATCCAGAAGAAAAACAAACTTCTTAGCAAGGAGGTAGATTTATTTATTATTTATTATTTTTTTTATTTTTTTAGTTATTGTGGGGTTTTCTCCTTTATTTTTAGTGTAAGGATGGTACTCATGCATGCAGTGTCTGAGGTGGCCAGAAGAGGGTGTCCGCGATCCCCAGGATTGAAGATACAGATGGTTGTAATCCACTCTTCAGGTGCTGGGAATTGAACTAAGGTTCTTTCAAAGAGCAGTCAGTGCTCTTAACTGCTGAGCCATCTATCTCTCCAGCCCTGGATTTTTGTTTTTTTGAGCCTAGGTCTTACTTTGTAGCAGAGACTGGTCTCAAATTTCCAAACCTGCCCTAGCCTCCCAAATTTTGTGATTATAGATTTGGGATTACAGATTTGGGTCACAACTCTAAGGCTTTTGTTATTGTTGCTTATTTTTTCTTTTATTTTTTTTAAAGATTTATTTATTTATTATGTATACAACATTCTGCCTCGATGTATGCCCGCACGCCAGAGCAGGGCACCAGATCTCCGTACAGATGGTTGTGAGCCACCATGTGGTTGCTGGGAATTGAACTCAGGACCTTTGGAAGAACAGTCAGTGCTCTTAACCTCTGAGCCACCTCTCCAGCCCATTGTTGCTTATTTTTTCAAGACAGGATTTCTCTGTGTAACAGCACTGCCTGGAACTCACTCTGTAGACCAGGCTGGCTTCAAACTCACAGAGATTCGCCTGCCTCTGCCATCTGAGAGCTGGGATTAAAGGCACCCACTGCCTGGCTCCTTTTTTTTTTTTAAGATTTATTTATTTATTATGTATACAGTGTTTCGACTGCATATCTGCCTGCAGATATGAGCACCAAATCTTATTACAGATGGTTGTGAGCCACCATATGGGTGCTAGAAAGTGAACTCAGGACCTTTGGTAATGCAGTCAGTGTGCTCAGCCATCTCTCCAGCCCCTTGTTTTTGCTTTTTGAGACAGAGTCTCTCTGTGTAGCCCTGGCTGTTCTGCCTGGAACTCAGAGATCCTCCTGCCTCTGCCTCCCAAGTGCTGGTTGTGACTACCACCTGGCTTGGGCTTTCAGTTTATCATCCTTCTGCTCTTGACTCCTAAGGACAGACATGCCTCACCAGCCCTAGCTACATTTCAAGTCTGTAGGAAAGATATATCTGTGTCCTCAAACTGACAGAAAGCCTAGCTAGCTTGGTTTATGTGGACTTCAAAGAATGGAGAGATTACGATAGCAAGTTTTCCCATGGGTAGATCCCCAGTGTCAAACATAGGAGAGCTCTAATTTCCACTGGATAATTGTACTTCTTTCCCTTTTGCTTGTCCCAGTAAGCTTCCTATTGGATGGTGTCCACTCTGGGGAAGGGTGGGGCACAAGGAATCCTCTCTAAGCAAAAAAGGCATTCAGCAAAATCCTCTGATTCAAGTACGTGTGACTAGTGAAAGTAACAGTGCCTTCTGGGACCTCCTCTGAGTTGCTCCCCATCCGTACTGGCTTTTGTAAGCTTTTCTGAGTTAGGTTTTATTTTTTAGTTTTTTTGAGACAGGGTCTCACTTGCTGGTCTGGAGCTTTTAATGTAGACCAGTCTGGTCTGGAGCCTACAATAATCCTTTTGTTTCTACCTCCTGCTACTGGGATTCAAGGACTAAGTCCCTATGTCTGGGTTTCTGGGCTGCCACACTAGCCATATTTTACACACTTTGGAATTTGTTGGGCACTATGAGGGGGTGTGGGCTACCAAGAATCAGGCTAGACATCTAACTTCTGGGTGCAATGAGGCTGAGAGGTGACTGTCACAGTTCTTGGAAGAGCAGAGGTGTGAATCTCAGCCCTTGTAAGGTTTTTATTATTGCTTTTAAAAATCTTTCTGTTAGGTGCTGGAGAGATGGCTCAGTGGTTAAAAGCACTTATTGCTTTTGCAGAGGGTCAATGTTCTGTTCCCAGCACCCACATGGTGGTTCACAACCATCCATAACCCCTTTTGATCTCAAAGGGCACCAGGCACACACATGGTACACATACATATATGGAGACAAAACATTTATACACCTAAAAATTAAAAAAAAATTTTAGAGACCAGGTTTCTCTGTGTAGCCCTGGCTGTCCTGGAACTTGTTCTGTAGACCAGGCTGTTCTTGAACTCAGAGATCTGCCTGTCTCCACCTCCTGAATGCTGGGATTAAAGAAGTGCGTCACCACCAGCAGCTCTAAAATGTTTTGAAATCTTATTATTTTAAGTTAATTTTGTTACCAAAGTGTTTTTTATATTTTATGCATATGTGGCATTTATATGTGTATATATAAATATTTATGTTATTTATGCGTACAACTGCTTGCCTGTGTGTATATGCGTGCACCACTTGCATCCGATCCCCTGGAACTGAAGGTATAAATGGTTGTGAGCCACCCATGTGGGTGCTGGGAATTGAATTCAGGTCCTCTGCAACAGCAACCAATGCTTTTAACCACTGAATCATCTCTCCAGCCCCGTGGCATTATAATTTGCTCCATTAGTTTTTCCTGTGTAATTCAGATTGAATTCAGAGACCCTTGTATATGCTTAGCAAGCTCTCTACTGTTGAGTCACACAGCCAGCCTTACTTTTATTTTTGAGACAGCCACCTAGCCTGAATCTTGGTGTTTAGTCAGGCGTTTGTCTCAAGGGTTTTTGTGACAGGGATTATGCAGTACTGGCTGGTGGGTAGACACTAGGGCCCTAGCTATCCTTCTTTCCTTTTAAAATAAGATTTATTTAAGCCAGGCATAGTGGCACATACTTTTAACCCCAGAACTCTGGAGACAGATCCCCTGGGTGAAAATTTTCAGTGGTGAAAATTGCTGGGAATTGAACTCGAGATAGGCTCGATCCCCAGCCCTACCCAGGTCTTCTGGATCACACAAGCCCTCACTCTACAGCCAGATCTAAAGCCCAAAAGTCCCAGATCCCGAGGTGAAGGGCCACCCAGTCCCCTCCTCCTTCCCACTCCCTCCAGCTCCAGCTCCCTTCCTCCTTCCCGCTTTGCCTGTCGCAGCTAATCACGCCTGGGCGGTTGGGGGCGGGCTCTACCTGACTGCGCGCCCTTTGATTGGGCAGCCGAGGGGGCGGGGCGGGGCAGGCTGTGCTAGGGAGAGCCTAGTGGAGCTTTGCGCTCAGCGCGCCAAGTTTGGGTTCCCCCGGTCGCGGCGTGTCACGTGGGCTGTGGGCTGGTTCCCAGGGCACGTGCTGAGCTGTTGGGACTTGGCGGGTTGTTCCGGACAGCGCGCTGTGGCTTTCACGCTGGCGGTGGGGATCGGGTCGTTCTTCGCGTGCTCTCCAGGAACTCAGCGATCCACCTGCCTTTGCCTCCCGAGTGCTGAGATTAAAGGCCTGTGCCATCACACCACCCTAACCCCTTTCCGAAAGGCCGGAGGCTCAGGCGTGTAAGTCCAGGTCCCGCTACCAAGTGAATTGGAAGTCGTCCTGGACCACAGATTGAGACCTACTCACAAGAACCCATCCGTCTAATACTAGGTATGTAATGTCTAATCTTTGCGGTTGTTTCTTTTTGTTTTGTTTTTTGAGGTGGGGGAGTACCAAGTAGCACGTGCTAGCCCCGAACTTGCTGCGTAGCCAAGGATGACCTTGAACTTCTCCAACTCACCAGCGAGAGCTACCACTCCTGATTTATGGGGTGCCGGGGATGGAACCCCTTGATTTATACGTGTTAGTGAAGCTTCTGAGGTTTGGCTCAGGTTGTGTAAGCACTACCTTGGGTTTACTAGCACGTCCCTGTTTGTCTGCAGTTTGTTACCCTAGTCTAGGAGACGGGTTGGGTTGTGGGGATCTTAGAGCTCAGTGCCTCTATTTCAAGGTCTGGAAGTTAGGTGACCCTTGGTTAACTGAAACAAACACGAATGTGTTTGGTTGATTTAGGCAGTTGCTGGACTGGAAACACCAGTTTAGGTTCCCTACGGAATCCATTTTAAATTTTTTTCCTTGAGGGAATGTCGAAGGGAGGTGAATGATTGTTACCCAGGGTTCTGGGAAGAACCAGAAGTAAACCAGAGCTCGGATTCTAGCTCATTTGTATAACCCTAGTTCGATAAAGTAACTCCGCAGAACACAAAAATTTATGTGCAAGACAAGGAAGGCCACCAAGCCTGGTCCCTATTACAATTTAAAAGCAATAATAGTAGTAAATTAATACGGACTTTGGCAAACCTATAGACCTTAATTTAAAAAAAAAAAAAGCTGCTTGTTTTCCCGAGTTAGCCAAAAATGACAATTCCAGGCACTCACCTTTAATCCTAGCCCTCAGAAGACAGACAGGTGGACCTTTGAGTCCGAGGCCAGCCTCGTCTACAGAGAGAGTTCCAGGACAGAACAACCAGGACTGTTAAATTTACACGGAGAAATCCTGTCCCCAAAACAAGCAGCCAGGTGGTGGTGGTACATGCCTTTAATGTTAGCACTCAGGAGACAGAGGCAGGCGGATCTCTGCTTGTTCAAGACCAGCCTGGTCTACAGAGTGAGTTTCAGGGTAGATTCTAGGGAGAGGAGTCAAAGCAAGAATAGACTGCTGAGTTGGGGAGCAGAAAGGAGGCCACCCCTACAGTTCCCACCTAGGGCTGTCTTGGATCAGAAAAGCCATTGCATGTGGGCCAATGGGCAGCAAGTGAATCTGTGGACCAGAATAGGGGTGCTGGTGGTACCTAGATAGAGGTGGTGGGGACATGTTCTTCCTGAGAAGGATGGGACTGAATGCACCTTGCCAAAGGATAAGAGTCCGGCTCTCCAGAGAAGACTGAGCCCTCGTTCTCGATGGTTAGGAGAGACTCCGTTTCCGGCCTTCGGCAGTTAATATGTAATAAAGAGGTTGTTGCCCTTTGGGATTCCCGGAGCAAAGATCCCAACCTGACTGGTAAAGCTCTGGTTCTAACTTACCAAGGGTCCAGAGAGGTGTCTGGATTTCCTGGGTGCTGATGTTGGGGGAAGAAACTCATGGGGTGCTTTGCATGCATTGCTGAGGTCACCCGTAAACCTCTCCTTCCCAGGGAGCTGCTACTGCAGCTGCAGAAGCAAACTGACTTGTCTGTGCTTTCTCATGTGTGGCCACATGTTTGTCTAATGATTCCATGCTGGTGTGAATATAACTACTCTGAAAGTCCTAATTAGGTATTTTCTGTTTAAAGATGATTGACAGTTCCGTTGTCTACCTCTTCCAGGGAGAGAAGGAGCCCTACTTTGGGACTGGATTGGGAGTGTACCCTCTGAGAGAGTAGGCTCTTTGCTCAGGATTGGCTGTTCTCTGTTGGGGGTGTCCTTTCCACAGCAGACCTCCTGTCTTGGCCACCTCAATTTTTCACCTATTTTGGGCCTTAGGTATTCAGTATTAATGTTGGTCTATGGTCATTCTCCCCCTGAGGAAGCCCCATAAAGGCAGGTCGGCTCCCCGCCTCCCCCTTGGATTTATTGACCACAGCACAAAAGAGTAGTAGGCAGTGGAAGGTCCTTAACTACTTGTCCTGTAAATAAAGTTTGCACAAGTTAACAGAAAAGGACAGGAGGGCTGCCAGCCATTGTGTAAAGGAAGAGCTGTGGGTGCAGTGGGTTCGTTTTGCTTTGTTGCTTGTGTTTTTGAGACAGGGTTTCTGCATATCCTTGACTGTCTTGGAACTCTTTGTAGCCCAGGATGGCACCTGCCTCAGTGTCCTAAGTGCGGAAATCACAGGCGTGCGCGACCATGCCCAGACTGAATGCGGTGTTTTTATTTTACATTTATGTACTTTATTTTATGTGCGTGGCTAAACGTTTCGCACAACACAGCTTGGTGTTCAGTGCCTAGTCAGAGAGCAGCAAAGCTCCACGTGTGCTTCCGCAGAGTCTGAGAGAACTGTGTCCAGGACCGGAGATCGCAGGACTCAATTATAAAATGTTTACTGCCTATGGTGGAATGTGCCCATAATCCTAGCACTTGGGAGATGGAAGAAAGAGTTCAAAGTCATTTCTAGCCACGTGCCGAGTCTAAGGCCAACCTGGACCATGTGAGAACAAGCTATAAAGTGTGCTGCTGGGCATCTTGGAAGGAGCAGCCGTGGGGTTGCCTGTGTTCTCTGTTAATTTATGTTTACCCAGTGACAGACGTTGATAAGGAATGTCTACTGTTTCACAGGAACTGACCAGTTCTCTGCCAGTGGAATTGGTTTAAGTAAAGGGTCTGATTGATCATTTAGATGGAGATTACTTCTTCCAGTGTAGCTGTGCTAGAAACTGTGGGAGATTGAAAAGACTGATGTTTAGCTGGCAGTGCAGGGTTCCGTGGAGAACCCCACCTAGGAAGCTTGGAAGGAAGAGGCTCTAGGGCAGAGTTTTGGAATGAGAAGAATCAGGTACGAAGTTCAGGAAGGAGCCCCAACTGGTTTCCAGGGATTTATGCTCTTGGCGCGCGCGCGCACGCGCGCGCGCACACACACACACACACACACACACACACACACACACACACACACACACACACACGGGAGGCTCGCTGGAGTCGACGTTGGGACCCACGTGTGTTTTCCCTTTGTTTTACGCAGGAACCACTGCAGCAGCCGACATGGACATCACCCTGTGGTCTTCTCACGAGAAGATGTTGACACAACCCCTCAAGGACAGTGACGCAGAGGTGAGACTCGGGCCCCTTCCCAGGCTTTTACATCGGCAGCCTTGTTTAGATCACGGTGGGTTTTTTTTTGTTGTTGCTTTGTGGGGATTTTGTTTTGTTTCATTTTGTTTTGTGCTGTGAGGGGTGGAACCAGGTCCTCACCTGTTAGGCATGTGTCCACTGCTGTGCTGCATTCCTGGCCTCGAAATTACTCCTTACGACCCTGAGTGGACTGTGTACAGATGGCCTTGTAGAGTGACGGACGGGACTGGGGTGCAGTGTGGTGGCGGAGCGTTTTCTTTCCCAACTACATCTCCAGCACCACCACAGGAGCAGATGGAGAAGCTGTGGTTGATAGTCCTTTGCGGGTAAATGTAGGTTTTTCTGAGCTCAGTGCTTGGTGCTCTAGAAAACAGGAAAAAGGTTGGCCCTTCCTTTACACTGCCCAGGAACAGACACACTCAAATGCCCTAAAGCAGTTTGGTTTTATAACATTTTTATTGTTACATTATTCAGTCATACAGTTCAGTGTTTTAGCATATAGTGGTTTTTGATTTATGCCATAGTTATGTTTTTTTAAATATTTATTTATTATGTATATAATATTCTGTCTGTGTGTATGCCCGCAGGTCAGAATAGGGCACCAGACCTCATTACAGATGGTTGTGAACCACCATGTGGTTGCTGGGAATTGAACTCTGGACCTTTGGAAGAGCAGGCAATGCTCTTACCCTCTGAGCCATCTCTCCAGCCCCCTGTAGTTATGTTTTAATAAACCCACATAAGTTGAAAATGGGCCAGACTGCACTGAATCTGCTTCGTACCTGTCACATGTCCAGGCGTGGCGGTGTGGAGCATGACGGTTAGGAGTGTGTCCCGTTGTGGGCTCACTGGGCACTGCGGCTTGCTGCTCCTGCCCAGTATCAGGAGGGGAGATCAGAATCTCTCTAGCCAGGGAAGGAGACTGTTCAAAGCTGAAGTGGCATTTCCAGGTGCCCCATGCTTTGCCTCTCTCAAAAGCTGAGAAATCGTCTGTCCATCAGCATCTGCACTTGCAGTGACATACAGACATTTTATACCCGGGAATCCATGAGCAGCTACCCTATTCTCCCCAGATTCTCCACCCCAGGCAACCATTAGTGGAGTTTTCCTTCTGCTGTATTTTCTCAAATGTTTTTTGGAATAAGGTTCGCAGAGATAAGAACTTAGTAACACGTAAGGATAGAATTGAAAATTAACTGGGGGAAGTGGTTATGCCTTTAATGCTGGCAGAGAGGCAAGTGGATCACTGAATTAGAACCCAGCCTGGACCGTATTCCAGGCCAGCCTAGGCACATAGTGAGACCCCATCTCAGCAAACAAACAATAGAAATCAGGTGTACTAAAGCTAACTGAGGGTGACCCTGAGCCTCTGGTCATCCCACCTACACTCCCAGATGTTGAAATTACAGATTCTGTGCCAGCAAGTTCTGTTTGTTCAATTTGTTTTTATTTTTTGTTGCTGTTTTCCTAATTATTTAAACTTCTGATCCTCCTTCACAACCCAAGGACTGAGATTTCAGGCATGTGCCACCCTCCCCAATTTACTCAATGCTGAGGATCAAACCCAAGGGATAACGCATGCTAGATAAGCATGTTAGCAACTGAGCTACGCTCCAACCCCATGCCTGTTTCCTTCTGATAAGGTTTACAACATTATTAAAAAAGAGAGCAACCGGCAGAGGGTTGGATTGGAACTGATTGCCTCGGAGAATTTTGCCAGCAGAGCTGTGTTGGAGGCCCTGGGATCTTGCTTAAATAACAAATACTCCGAGGGGTATCCAGGCCAAAGGTGAGTGAGTAATCTTAAGATCCTGCTCTGACCATTTTGTTTTTATTTCTTGTTTGTGGTTCTGGCTGACCTTGAACTCACTACATAGCCCAGCTGACAATTCTGCCTCAGCCTTCCAAGTGCTATTGCAGTTGGAATTTACAGTGTCTGGCTTTCAACTAATGTGTAACTTTCAAAAACCTGTAGCTCCCCAGTTACAGGCTTGTCTTCTCTTCTTGTTCTCTGATGTAACTCCTCCAGCTCTCTGCTGGGTGGGATTCTGTGATCTTCTCAGAGCAGTCACACTCAGCAGTCCCTGTGTAAGACCTGTGTAGCATAGGCTGTCCTTGTCCCTCTGAGTTCACGTGGTTAGAAGCAGGCTCGTCTATGAGAGATGCGGTCCAGGCGCTAGGAAGGGTCATTGTCCTGTAAGAAAGCTACAGAGTGGCTTTTGTTCTGAGAACCTTTATATCTGGGATGTGAGGGGGAAAAAAAGCCTGTATCCCTTCTCTGAAATGCTTACAATCAGAAGTGTTTTTTTATTAAAATATCTACTTGATTCTTTGGTTAAGCATTCTGTATCTGAAACTAGTGCTTCAGAACTTGAAACTTTGGGTGTTTTGTTTTGTGAGTCTTACTATGTAGCCATATAATGTGGTGTGGACCAGGTTGGCTGCAAACTTGTGTTGATCCTCCTACCTGTTTTTTAAGTGGCGGCTTTGCAGGCACACATCACTATGCCTAATCTTTTTTGGTTTTGCTGGGAGTTGAATTTAGGACTTTATGTGCCCAGGCAAGTCTCCTCCACTGACTTACACACACACCACCTTGAAACCGATTTCTTGAGTCAGAATCTCACTGCATAGCATAGGCTGGCCTCATGCTTCTAAGTTCAAGTGGTCTTCTGTGTGTCTGTCTATTACATCCATTATCAGACTATGTGTCTGTCTGTCTGTCTGTCTGTCTGTCTGTCTGTCTGTCTATCTATCTATCTATCTGGTCATTTTAAGGCGAAATACAGAAGTTGACAGTGGTTTTTTTTTTTTAATATTTATTTATTTATTATGTATACAATATTCTGCCTGTGTATATGCCTGTAGGCCAGAAGAGAGCACCAGACCCCATTACAGATGGTTGTGAGCCACCATGTGGTTGCTGGGAATCGAACTCAGGACCTTTGGAAGAACAGGCAATGCTTTTAACCTCTGAGCCATCTCTCCAGCCCCTTGACAGTGGTTTTTGCACATGTATGCATTTGTTCCAGTGGAAATGGGGAAAGGGTGGATCCTGTAGAGACCACAATTCTATCATGAGATACCCTTGTTTCTTTTTCCTCCTTTTCTTTTTTTTTTTCTTGGGACAGGGTCTTTGTATATAGATAGCACCAGCTTCCTCCTGCTTCTGCCTCCCAAGTGCTGGGAGCTGTGCCCCACCAGACCTGGCCTAGCTACTGGATCTTCACAGCAGCCTTAGAGCAGGACTCACTTCCCCCACCATACTCTGCCCACCCTTTGGCATCTTTGGCCTCTGCTAGGCACAGAAACTGGACCTAGGGTGTGTGTGGACCTTGCTTGTCTTCGCAGGTATTACGGTGGGACCGAGTTCATTGATGAGCTAGAGACACTGTGTCAGAAGCGTGCTTTGCAGGCCTATCATCTGGATCCTCAGTGCTGGGGAGTCAATGTCCAGCCTTATTCAGGTGATTGTTGCATGCACATAGACCCTGGGTAGCTCCTTAGGCCTAGTTCGATGGGTTACAGCCACCAAGTCAAGTCCCACAGAAGCCTTCTCCTAAGTAACAGAGACAAGCCAAGGAATCTGTGCATTCATCCCCATTGCCCTTGGACTTAGCTCTGCACTCCCCTCCCATGTAGCATTCTGCCCTGGAACTTACAATCGGTGAAATTAGGGCAGCATTACTTTCTAAGGCTCAAGAAAATCGTGGTGATAGCCTGCCAAGTGATTGTCAAACTGTGTAGCCAAGCTCCCGGATGTCCCTTTGTGCCTCGTGGGTAGAAATACTCAGTGCCTCTCTGTTCTCCCTGTTTCAGGCTCCCCTGCAAACTTCGCTGTGTATACTGCCCTGGTAGAGCCCCATGGGCGAATCATGGGCTTGGACCTGCCAGATGGAGGTCATTTGACTCATGGCTTCATGACAGACAAGAAGAAGATCTCTGCTACATCTATCTTCTTTGAATCTATGCCTTATAAGGTAGGGGTTTGTGTGTCTCCTCAGAACTTCCCTTGTGAGTTGGTACCTGCGGGGATAAGTCATTGCGTTTACACAGCACTGCCGCAGCCCCTTCTACTGGATCTCACTTCCATGCCCCAAGGACTCCTTAGGCTCTTGGCACACTGTGGACAAGGAAGGGGGAGTTAAGGTTTGGGCCAAGGCTATAACATGATGGAAGCTATGACTGAGAAAGGGATCAGATAGCCAGCCCCCTAGCAGCAGCTGGTGGCACAGGTCTGTCTTCACCAAGGTCAGCGGGTACAAGTATGGCAGTGTCCTCACCTCTAGCATCAGTACTAGCAGCTTCACCATTAATAGCCTTAGGCCTCTACAGCCCAGCCCTGTAGCCCACCACTACCCTATTTCACAGACTGTTCTCAGCCATTGTTATGACCATGTGCCCCATTGGAATCAGTTCCATTAGAGCCAGTGCCCACAGCAAATGTTTGTGTGGGGTGTGTGTAGGCGTGTGACTCTTTGTTTTATCAGATGAACCCCCAAAATGCAAATAGGGGGTTGGGAGTATAGTTCAGTTGATAAAAGTACTTGCCTATCATGCACAAAATCCTAGGTTCAGCCGGTGGTGGCGTGCGCCTTCAATCCCAGCACGCGAGAGGCAGAGGCAGGCAGATCTCTGAGGGAGACCAGCCTGGTCTACAGAGCTAGTTCCAGGACAGGCTCCAGAGCTACAAAAAACCCCTGTCTCGAAAAACTAAACCCAAACAAACAAACAAAACCCCTAGGTTTAATCCACAGCCCTGCAAGGGGGAAGAAAGATAGATTTGAGGCCTCCACATAGGTCTAACACTTGGGAGGCTAAGACAGAAGGATTATGAAGTTTGAGGCCAGATGAGGCTGCATGAGTTTCAAGTCAGTGAGACCTTGAGTTTAAAAAAAAATAAAATTAAAACCTAAAAGGCCCAAGGGCTCATATGTACCATTACAATCTGTCCATTTGACCAACAATGGGAGCTGGAGGTGTCTACGAGCTGCAGAGGACCTAGGTTCAGGTCCCAGCACCTACCTGGTAGCTTATACCTGTAACTCTAGTTCCAGGGGAGCCAACACCTTCTGGCCTCCACTGGTACCAGGCACACATATGCAGGCAAAACACCCATACACATGCAGTAAATAAATCCTGAAAACAGCTAAGTGTGACTGGATAGAAGAGGGAAACATTCATGTTTTCCATTGTCTGGTAGTGTGTCCTTCCTGGTGTCTCTCTTTGGGTTATTTGATGTTCAATACACTGTCTCTGATTGTTTTCTTTTGGCAACCAGGAAAAAGATAACTGAATCTTTCTACTGAGCTAAATATTAGATGTGATTTTCTTTGTTTAATAAATTTGAGGATTGGCAAGATGGCTAAGTGGGCAAAAGTGCTTGCTGCTAAGCCTGGTGACCTGAGTTCAAACCCTAGGACCTACATGGTAAAATGAGAGACCTAAATTCCTTAAGTTGCTTCTGACCTCCGCATGTGCTCCATGGTACTCATGTGCGTGTACACACAAATGATGTCATCTTTGTGGAATCTTATTTACTGTGAAATCGGCCACGTCTCAGTTACGTAGCTACTGTGGGTGTGAGTGACTGTTTTTCTGGACAGCTTGAGGATTTCTTCACAGATCTTACTGGCCAGTCTAGAAATTAGATTTTTTATTTATGTATTTATGTTTTTCCTTATTTTTTTCCCCGAGACAGGGTTTCTCTGTTGCTTTGGAGCTTGCCCTAGAACTTCCTCTGTAGACCATGCTGGCCTCAAACTCAAAGAAATCCACCTGTTTCTGTCTCCCGATTGCTGGGATTAAAGGCAAGCACCACCACCGCCTGGCTAGATTTTTTTGTTTTTTGGGGTTTTTGTTTTTTTTTAAATGGGGGTCTCTCTATCATGTATGTAAATCAGGCTGGCCTAGAACTCAGAGATCCACCTGCCTCTACTTCTCAAGTGCGGAATTAAAGGCCCAATTTGGAAACCAGATTTTTAAACATGGGACAGTATAACCAAGTCTTCTCTTTGGTCTTACATTAGAGCATAAAAGCTGATTTCTGTTCTTACGACAGTGAAAGAATTGTGGTAGGGAGTGGCTACTGACATTTTCTCTGTACCCTTTGATGGGGTGTTGGCCAGCTTCGTGCTATTTTTGATTACTCCATGAAGCCCATTCCTGTGTTCCAATGCCCCGTTTTTCTCAAGCACTGTACTTGCTGCAGCCCTTGGCCACTAGAGTACTTGTGGTGGCCTGTCAGGTGTGGACGGGACGATCTGGCTTGGGTCCAGGAGGCACAGCTTCTGTGGACAGGCTGCCTCTGCTAGCAGCTCACCAGGGCTGTCTTCTGTCCGCTTTCCTCAGGCCGTCTGTCTCTCACGTCAGCTCATGCGCATCTCTCCTGGACTAAGCAGCTGCCCAGTGAGGGCCAGTGCTTTCTTTCTCCTCAATGACTGCAACACTGACCTTCCGTTGCTGTTACTAGTTCACATCTCATACTTGCTTCCATTCCCTTCTGAAAATGGAGGCTTTCCCTCTCTCTGGTCTCCAGTGGGGGCCTCTGCACTGTCCTGCCAGATAGAAGCTTCCTAGCTTGGGAGTGTGTCAGTGCTTCCAGCTGGTATGTTTTGGTTGTTGTTAGGTGTCTAAGATTTAATTTATGTGTATGAGTATTTCTCTCTCTCTCTCTCTCTCTCTCTCTCTCTCTCTCTCTCTCTGTATGTGTGTACATACATATATAAAACGTGTGTATCTAGTGCCTGAAGAGGTCAGAAGAGGGTGTCAGATCTCCTGGATTACAGACAGTTGTGTGCATCTTGTGGTGCTGGAAACTGAATCTGCCTTTGCAAGAATAGCAAATACTCTTATCTGCTGAGCTATTTCTTCAGCCTTTGTCTTTATTATTTTGGTCTTATGCTATATCCCAGGCTGACTTTGAACTCAGGACAATCCTTCTGCCTCAGCTAGTAGCTAGGATTAAAAGCTTGGCTGTGCCTTTCTCATTTCCTGGACTTTTTGTTCTGTAGCATAGTGTAGTACCCAGGGCTAAGACTCCCCCTTATCCTGAGACCCCTGTGAGGGCTTCCAAGTCTGTGTGGGAACTGAATACATTTTATACCCTTTTTATACCCTTGTGCAAACGGAGTACATTGCCCTGCCCCAGGTCCTGGTCTGTGTTGTGGCAGGTTGAATGTGCTCAGGTGGATGGGCAGGGGGCACTGTGTGACCAGAGGAAGCAGCCAAGCCTGTGTCTTTGTGCTCCCGACAGGTGCACCCAGACACTGGCTACATCAACTATGACCAGCTGGAGGAGAATGCCAGCCTCTTTCACCCGAAGCTAATCATCGCAGGTGAGCGGCAGTTGGAAGCAGCCTGGTTCCTGGGCAGGGCCTCTGCCTCCTCCAGAGAAGAATGTAAAGATATCGCGTCCTCCATCTCACTGTGCAGAGATCAGACTTGAAACATATTCTGTCCTTTTAAGACTTGGATTGGCTATTTTTTGAGCCAGGCTGCTGCCATCTTCATGAGGTCAGCTGTGCCTGCTTTCCAGGGTCCATCTTGATTGGGTCTGTGGACAGTTGATATTTGCCCTATTGAAAGGAGAGAGCCAGAGGGTCATTGAACCCTCACCCGAGTGTCAGGCAACTTTTCCCGGCCATTTGTGCAGTTTGGCCCCAAGTGCACGTGGCCTCCATGGGAGGCTAGAGTATCTAGGCTGGGGAAGACTAGGAGAAGAGAGCTTTCTTTATGCTGTTGTGAGGAAGCCGTCCATGCTGGTGAGGACTTCCCAGTGCAACTGCATTTGGATCGCCTACACTTCTGTCACTAATTTCTCACCCATAAGTAAGCCCAGGAAGCTCTGGTTTCCTGGGGTGAACTTGTACTTTGGTTTGTTATTATTGGAACCACATGAGGGAAAAGTAGACCTTGTTCACATCCCTTTCAGACAAGAAGTTTTATTTTGTTTGTTTTTTGTTTCAAGAAAGGGTTTCTCTGTAGCTTTTGGAGCCTGTCCTGGAACTAGCTTTTGGTAAACCAGGCTGGCCTCGAATTCACAGAGATCCGCCTGCCTCTGCCTCCCAAGTGCTGGGATTTAAGGCGTGCGCCACCACTGCCCAGCTTTCAGACAAGAAATTTTAACTGCTTGCCATCGATAGTGTTTAGTACATCAGTGATTCAAGCCTTATGTTTTTCTTATCATGTATAAAAACACAGGGGTGTTTTTTTTGGGGGCGGGGTTTGAGACAGGGTTTCTCTGTGGTTTTGGAGGCTGTCCTGGAACTAGCTCTTGTAGACCAGGCTGGTCTTGAACTCACAGAGATCTGCCTCCCAAGTGCTGGGATTAAAGACGTGCGCCACCACCGCCTGGCTCACAGGGGTGGTTTTGTTTTGTTTTATTAGTTTATTGTTTTGAAACAAGTTTCATCGTGTAGCCCTGGCTGGTCTCAAACTTTGATGTCCACTGGCCTCTGCCTTCTAAGGGCTGGGATTAAAGGTGTGCACCACCACACCCAGCTCAGATATGGTTTTGAGGGCACACTACACATTGTCCTCAAAGATGGGGGGGGATCTCCTAGCAGATGTGTACATTAGAGGCCAGCTCAGCTGCCCTGGACACCTTTGATGTTACCATGTCATCTCCTCTGTCTCAGGGACCAGCTGCTACTCTCGGAACCTGGACTATGCACGATTGCGGAAGATTGCTGATGACAATGGGGCGTATCTCATGGCAGACATGGCACACATCAGTGGGCTGGTGGCGGCTGGTGTGGTTCCTTCCCCTTTTGAACACTGCCATGTGGTGACCACCACAACGCACAAAACCCTCAGAGGCTGCCGTGCTGGTATGATATTCTACAGAAAGGGTAAGTGCCTACATGCTGGGACAGGCAGAGGGTGGGCTAACGTTTCCTGTGTGGAAGAAATCAGGAAAACTCTGGACTGTGACTCTGGGAAAGATCAGGATCTTGTACCTGGAATAGTCTCAGGAAAGAGCAGTGATGGGCTTTGAAGGAAGCCCCAAGTCACAGCTCTGTAGAGGACAGAGGACCACTTTTGAAGCTGGCTTTCTCCTTCCATTGTGGGATCCAGGGATTAGACTGACAGGTTTGTACAGCAAGCACTTTGCCTGCTGAGCTGTCTTCATGGACCTCATAAAGAAAGACTCACTGGGGCTGGAGAGATGGCTCAGTGGTTAAGAGCATTGCCTTCTTTTCTAAAGGTCCTGAGTTCAATTCCCAGCAACCACATGGTGGCTCGCAACCATCTGTAATGAGGTCTGGTGCCCTCTTCTGGCTTGCAGACATATACACAGAATATTGTATACATAATAAATAAATTAGTATTTAAAAAAAAAAGACTCACTGGGGTTGGTGTGGTGGTACACACCTATAATCCCAGCTCGAAACCAGAAGGTCAGAGGCTGGCCTGAGACTTTGACTCTACAGGGTGGGGGGCGACAGTGAGACCAACACTGACACCCAATAATAACTAAACTATAAAGCACTCATACAGGAGGTTGGCATGGCGGTGCGGTTGTACATTTCTGTAATCCTGCACTTTGAAGGCATAGGCAGCTGCAAGTTTTAGGCGCCGCCTGATTATCATAGTAAGTTCAAGTTCTAGTCCAGCTAGGGCTAGGGAGTTCAGAATCATGTTTCACGCATAAAACAAATAGAAGTAACCTCTGTGTGAGTTTTATCGTTTAGTACGGTGTTTCTCTTCCTACTTCCTTACACCCCACCTCTGCAAATACTCCCCTTATTCTGGAGTTCCCACAATGGTGAAAGTCATATCAACAGTGATGTAGCCCATAGCCTTGCAGCAGCATGGAAATTAGCCTTCCAGTGTCTTACCCTGGTGGGATCTTGAGGGCAAGTGCTAGTCAGGTGCCGCCTCGGTCTTCAAGGTCTTGCAGCCTCTGAGGACTTTGTCAGCTTGCTTGGAGTTGTGGAGTTGTTGGTTTGTTTTTTGTTTGGTTGTTTTGGTTTTGAAACAGAATCTCATACTGTAGCACAATCCTATCTCAGCCTCTCAAGTGACCAGATTATAGTCTAGGTCACAGTATGCTAGGTTCCTGGGTTGGCATTTGAGGAGACCTTTGTTGTGTCTGCTGTGTTCAGTGGATTTGTTGGCCCTCAGCCAGTAAGAGTAGCTCTGGCCTCTTTTGCTGCTGTGCCATCTCGGGCCACTGGCGGCTTCTCTGGGTCTTGTTTCCTCATCTCTAGAGCAGAGAGTGTTGCAGTAGCATCCATGCCTCTAGACTTGTTTGGGGGATTCAGTGAGTTGACACCAAGTGCTTCTGTAGCCAAACTTGGCTTACAAGAATATGTAGGTGATAGTGATGATTACCATTGAATAGGAATTATTTTTGTTATTAACTTTTTCTCATGAATAGTCATCTGAGCATTGATGCCGTCCTGTCACTGTCACTTTCCACACAAGCCCAGTGACTGAGTTCAGTCCCCAGAATCTACATGAAGTAGAGAACCAAATCCACAAAGTTGCCCTCTGACCTTTGCCATGGTATTTGCCATAGTACATGTGTATCCACATGCATATCATGTCCGTACACAATAATAGCTTTGTGGGTTTTGTATTTGAAGCAGGGTTTCTTTGTAGCCCTGGCTGTCCTGGAATTTGCTCTGCAGACCAGACTGGTCTCAAACTCAGAGATCCTCCTGCCTCTGCCTCCTGAGTGCTGGGATTAAAGGTGTACACCTCATGCCCTTGCTAGAGTTGTGTGGGTTTTTTTTAATTAAGGGGAAAAGGGAACCAAGCATGGCGTCACATTCCTTTAATCCCAGCACTTGGGAGGCAGAGGCAGGAAGATCTCTTAAGTTCCAGAACAGCCTGGTCTGCATAGCAAGGCTGTCTCAAAAAGTGGGGGGGAAGGGGAACCAGGTGTACAACTGAAACCAGTAATCCAGTCTGTCATCCATCTGCAAGGGCCTTTGCCCTGCCATTGCAAACCCGTCCAGGTGGGGCTGCCTGCACTCTTATCGATTTAGCTGTGAGTCACAGGTCTGTCTGCTAACATCCTAGTTTCTTTACCAGGTGTACGCAGTGTGGATCCCAAGACTGGCAAAGAGATTCATTATGAACTGGAGTCACTCATCAACTCCGCTGTGTTCCCAGGCCTCCAGGGGGGGCCCCACAACCATGCCATTGCTGGTAACGTCACCAAGTCTACTGTAGAGCCCTTGGGTTGCACCCTACATCACAGCGCCGTGAAGTCTATACTTCCCATCCTAGCTGTCCTCCAGAGTACGTTCCTGGACTTCCACACTAGAGAAGGAACTTGAGAGAGAGTGTGTGTACAGGAAAAGGGGAGGTGATTAAAAGTGGTACACGGGAGGACAGGGAGAAGTGACTGTTGCGCTCAGATGGCCATCCTTAGGCAGATACCTGAAAGATGAGTAGAGCTGGCACAGAAGAAAACTAGGACCCAATCCTATGTGACGAGCTGCTTCTCTTCCATATCCCCACACCTGTGGGGGTGTGGGCTCACACTTTATGACCTTCACACCTTGAACCCTGGCTACAGCAGTGACTCCTGGGTTCCATGGGAGCCCTACAGGCTCTCTTCTCCTTTTTCCCTCTATTTGGACACATGGCTTATAGATAACTACTAACATTCTGAATCATCTCACTGTCATTGTGGCAGTGACTGTGGCACTTGCTGGTACTGAGGCACCCAGGACAAGGTGGGGTCTCTCAGGCAGGACATTAGTGTGCACACTGCTAGGAAAAGAACAGCACATCGGGGCTGGAGAGATGGCTTAGCAGCTAAGAGCACTGGATGCTCTTCCAGAGGACCTGACTCAGTTTCCAGTACCTACAGGGGATTCACAACTATCTGTAACTCCAGTTTCAGGGAATCCAATATCTACTTCTGGTCTCTGCAGGGACAAGGGATGCAAGTGATGCACACATACATGCATGCAAGCCAAACACCCATAAACAAAAATGGGGGCATAGTGGCACATGCCTTGAATCCTAGCACTGGGGAGGAAGAGGCAGACAGATCTCTTGAGTTGGAAGCTAGTTTAGCTTAACATAGCACATTGGTGGGGCATGGGCTCTGGGTTTTCAGATTTCCTCATTGCAGGGTCTGCTTAGGTCTCATGGTTCCTGCTACTGAACTTAGTGTTTCCACAAGCAGACAGGTGCTCTATACCAGGACATCAGTGTGTGCATTGAGCATGGTGCTCTGCTTCTCGTCCCTTGTAGTCAGACAGCGCTCATGAGTAATTACAAGGGTGTCAGTGCTCCGAGGTGGTGAGGGGGCAAGCAGGCCGTTCCTCCTGGGACAGCTCAGAATGCTGCATTATGTCACTGACTTCGTTCATTCAGAGATTCATTTCCATATATCAAGCACAAAAGGACTAAAATCCATCCTTGTGGTAATCAGAATACACTGGGCTTTCATCCCCAGAGATAAGCTTACCTCCAAAGCAGTCCTTGGGGAGTGTCTTTAGTGATGTCTGCAAGGGTGGTAGGGTAATTATAGGGCTAAAACAATGGGTATGGGCGTTAGATCCTAGGTTCTATCCCTAGCCATGTACAAGAATAGAAATAGATAATTGGTCATGTGAGGGGGGTGATGTAATAGTTCACAGATACTGGGTTCCCTGAAAACAAGGCCTGCTCCTGAGTCAATACCTGTATTTAAATCTGTCTCTTTGTCCAGGTGTTGCTGTGGCCCTGAAGCAAGCCATGACCACAGAATTCAAAATCTACCAGCTCCAAGTGGTGGCCAACTGCAGGGCTCTGTCTGAGGCCCTCACAGACCTAGGCTACAAAATAGTCACAGGTATACTAAATGCTCACAAAACTGGGCTGACCTTTCTTGGGTGGGTATATTGAAGTCTTGCCTCTTGGTTTATCTGGTCAGGGTGTGGTTTGCCACCACTGCATTGACTCTTGCCACCTCACACAACTGAGCATACCCTCAGCTATAGTTCTTTCCCTTTTGTGTGTTTTAGCAACTGCCATGTGACACCCAATGCACATTCTGGATAACAGATGTCAGGTTACAGCTGCACCCACTTGCAGGTGGCAGAGTCAGGATCCTTCCACTTGCTGATAGCATCCATGAGGCCAGGGCACAGTAGGCTTTCCCTGGTTCCTGTCATGTATGACAGCCTTGTGACACACCAGTCTTTTCTTTTCTTTTCTTTTTTTTTTTGACCTGGGATCTTTGGAATCATTCCTGCAGTACAGCCTGGGGTTGAAGTAAAAAGTGATCTTCCAAGGCCACACCATGGTTTAAAAAGAGTTCAAAGTGGAAAGACCTAGAGGATCTTTTTGACCTTGGGCTTGGTCCAGAAAGTTCTGTTATTACTGCTGTCCTCTTCATCTGTTAGCCAGCTGTGTCTATAAAAAAAGTGCCTGAGGGACAGGAACCAAAAAGCTACAGAGAAACCCTGTCTCGAAAAATCCAAAAAAAAAAAAAAAAAAAAAAAAAAAAGCCTGAGGTAATCAGCGTAACACAAAGACAGACTAGCTCATTTTTGGAGTGTGTGATCAAGTCCACAGTAGATTAACCCAGTTAGTCCCTTTACTTTTGGGCAGGTACATCATNAAAAAAAAAAAAAAAAAAAAAAAAAAAAAAAAAAAAGTGCCTGAGGTAATCAGCGTAACACAAAGACAGACTAGCTCATTTTTGGAGTGTGTGATCAAGTCCACAGTAGATTAACCCAGTTAGTCCCTTTACTTTTGGGCAGGTACATCATGGTAGGAGCTTGTGGCGAACCACAGCCATTTAGTTCACAGCCAGGGAAGAAGAAAGAAAAAAGGGGCTGAGATCCCACAGTCCTTCAGTGACCTAAAGACCTACTAAGCCGGGGCTGGAGAGATGGCTCAGTGGTTAAGAGCATTGCCTGCTCTTCCAAAGGTTCTGAGTTCAATTCCCAGCTAACACATGGTGGCTCACAACCATCTGTAATGAGGTCTGGTGCCCTCCTCTGGCCTGCAGACATACACACACAGACAGAATATTGTATACATAATAAATAAATATTAAAAAAAAAACCAACTATTAAGCCTGTCTTTTGTGGGACAGGGTGAGTGTCTTTTTGAATTGGTTTCATTACATAGCCCAGGCTGGCCTCCAGTTCCAGAATGCTAGGTATGACATAGGCATACACCACAGTGGCCAGCATCTGGCTCTGTCACCTTTTGGTAACTCTAGAATAGAGAGCAGGCCTTTAACACCATGAACTTTTAGGGAACCCTTGAGATCTGAATCTTAGCATTATTTATGTCACTAATATATGTATATCCTTTGGAATCTGAAGGCTTTGAACACAAACCAGATGCCTAAAAGTTTGGATTAGCATTTTTGTGTTAGGGGTGTTCAACTAATAAGGTCTAGCAAATATTCCAAAATGTGGGGGGAAAAAAACCCTCAAATCTCAAAACACTGCTTCTGGTCATGAACATTATGAATGCCGGGTATCCAGTCTGTTTTGCCATGGGGTTTAGAACAGAGCCTCCAGAACATATATGGTCATTACCCCATCTGCATGGTTAATTGAGCTGGCACTACTCAAAAGGAGCTCTTTTGTTATTTTGGTTTTTTGGGACAAAGGTCTCACTATGAAGTCTTGGCTGGCCTTGAATTCATATGTGATCCACCTGCCTCTGCCCGAGTGGTGGGACTGATTGAGAGCATGTAACGCCATGCCTATCCCAGAAAGAGTCTTAAAATGGGCATCAGAAAGGCTGGTAGAACGTTTACCTAGAGTCATTTGTCACATAATATGAGAACTTGACCGCTCCTCAGCCTGTGTGGGTCTCTACCATGTCATGGCACAGGCAGTCTGGGCTGTAGTAGCTGCTGGACACTTCAGTCAGAAGCTCTGCACCCCTTTATGTCATGTCCTCTTCCCAGTTCCTAGTGGAGCATCTTTGCCCACCTCTCCAGAACCGCAGGTTCTTTTCCTTGTGTGGCCAACCTTCTAATTCCATTTTATCCAACTTTGTTTCCAGGTGGTTCTGACAATCATTTGATCCTAGTGGATCTCCGTTCTAAGGGTACCGATGGTGGAAGGGCTGAGAAGGTACTAGAAGCCTGTTCTATTGCCTGCAACAAGAATACCTGCCCAGGTGAGACTCCTCTGTGGTCATTCCTTCCATGGCCCTCCTATCTGCATTTCTTTCAGCCAGTGTTGGAGCTGATGAAAGTATTCAGCTTAGGAGACAGACCACCTTAGGGAAGGGCAGAAAGGAAAGGACAATTGAGTGGCACAGCTGTAAGAGACAGGAATTTTTTAAACCAAGTAGCATTTCTCCTGTCAGGCCCACATGTTAACCTCTCAAGGACTGCTTTTCATCGGTTAATACAGTAGCCCACATGCTTCTTTGTCCTACACCCTAGTTTTGAAGTCAGTCGCCTCCTTGCTAGATCAAGTTGGGATCCACAGACTAGGATCTTTACCCAACTTTCCTTTGAAAATACAGTGGGCACAGTAGTGTGTTTGACGCAGCTTAGGACCTTGCTTGTCTCAAAGGTGACAAGAGCGCATTACGGCCCAGTGGACTGCGACTGGGGACCCCAGCATTGACATCCCGTGGACTTTTGGAGGAAGACTTCCAAAAAGTTGCACACTTTATCCACAGAGGTAAGGGAGGGCGAGGTATTGGGAGTTCAAATGTCTTGCTTGTGTGTATAGTTGCTTGTGTGTTTTAGTAGCCAAGACCCAGCCATGGGTGAAAGCTGGTCTACAAATCCCTCATGTCTGTTGACAAAGGACACGGCCCAGAATCACCTAGTTATAGCAGGATATGTAGTGAAGGAGGCCCCAGTTGGCACTCACTGTCTTTTGCACAGGGATAGAGCTGACTGTGCAGATTCAGAGCGACATGGCCGGGAAGGCCACACTGAAAGAGTTCAAGGAGAAGCTGGCGGGGGATGAGAAGTACCAGAGTGCTCTGAAGAGTCTCCGGGAAGACGTGGAGAATTTTGCTTCCAACTTCTCACTACCAGGCTTGCCCGACTTCTGAGGGTAGGACTGTTCCAGGACCCTCTGAACCCTGTGCTCCCTCGAGACCACCAAGCTGCCCTGTAGTAGGCCACTGAGCCTGCCCTGTGCTTTGGAGGGTGTTTCTGGCAGGCTGTTCTTATTTCAGAAATCTGGGACAGGTTATCAAGGACTATAAATTTGAGACTTCACTTCTCAACAGCCGTATATATTTAATTATTCTGGAAAAAGTACTGTGTAGTCATTTGATCTCACTTATTGATTGCAGTATGAGGCAGAGCTATTAAAGATTCCAGAATTCTCCTTTCTCCTTTCTCAGTGGCCCTGTGGCAGGTAAGGAAATGTTCAGGTTCACCCTCATGTTTTCTCTTCTTCCTGTTCTGTTGCCCAGTAGAATGGAGAGGAGCACTGAGTTTTCTGCTCTGAGCTTGAGACTATAAACGAGACAGTTGTATGCAAGAGTTAGGATCAGGCGCTGGAAAGATGGCTCAGCACTGGCTGCTCTTTCCAAGGACCCTGGTTTGACCCCCAGCACCCACACGATGGATCACAATCATCTGTAACTCCAGTTCCAACACCTTCTGGCTTCTGAGGGCACCAGGTAAACATGAGCTGCAAACATACATATAGGCAAAATAGCAATGCACGTAACATTTTGTTTTAAAGAAAAAAATAGCGGCGGCATTTTGAATTACCTTATAGAAAGGCTATGGTGTCACTGTCACTTAGAGGGAATGCACATACTCAGTATGTATTCATGCCTAGGACACAAACTAGAACTGGTTGTCCCTATAGATAAGAAAATCCCTTTCTGGTTTGAGAGTCAGCAGAGGCCAAAGGCTTTGTGTTATATCAGCTGCTTGTAATTAGGAACCCAAATGCCACCTTCCCAAAGAGTCTTTATTTTTCACATGGCTAAATTGCAAACCAATTTAATACACACAAATTTTTATCCACAGAATGTCTACAAGAATTACAGCTTTAAAAAATACAACCAATTTTTATATTTTAAAAATATCTGAACTCAAATAAATTAATATTTTTAAAAGTATACTCCTCATACTATTTGTTTGGCATTTACTCTGGTTAAACTTTGTGCATAATGCCTGTGGTACACGGTCACATCAGCAGTGCTCTGGTTCCAGTACTGTGACTGCAAGTTGCAGGTTGGGACACATATTCACAGACATGGTGGGACATGCAGTAATAAAATAGCTTCTTAGAAAATAGCAAGAGTTCATTGCAGACCGTGCTGCTCGCTAACTGCTGTATGCCTCAGTCCAGCCTGCAGCTCCAGCTGGCCAGTATAAGAGTTTGGCCAAGGCTCCCTGGGAGCTGGTCCGTGGTTGGTGCTGTCTCCACCATGTGAAGGCAGTTGTGTTGGTTTCCGGGGAGTGTGGTGGCATACTGGTCCCCTCACCTCTGATTGTGGGGCCACTGCACTACTTTAGCAACCTTAAATCCAGGAACTTAATTCCTGCCTAGCTGAAGAAAACTACACAGCTCCAAGCTGTGCCTCTTGGGGACCTATGCTGTAAACCACCAACACACCAACACCGTAGGATGCTTTTTTCCCACTTCTACATCTCATCTGCTCCAGCTGTTCTTTCCCTAAGCTTTAACATTACCAAACCTTACTGGGCCAAGGGCTCGGGGAAACTGTGTTTAAGCACAAGCAAGGCTTTGCTTTCAGAGCAAAAGGAATCTAAACCTCGCTCTTTTGTGCAGCCTAAGTGTGAGTGTGTCCCTTAAATATTCCAGTTTGATCACAGTTTTAGGGTAAAGCCAGGAAGCTGGCTATTTGTTTCAAAGTACAAGCCAAGGCACTTTCTTAGGAGCTTTCTAGGGAAGTAGACAGTAGCCTGGATGGCCTACTGCCATGAGGATTTGGTACCTCCAGAGGCCTCACACCTGATGATGCACCATCCCTGACTGGGCGAGCTACTGCTACCCAACCATTTGGGAGCTAAACCATAGTGGCTCTAGCACAGGACATTGGTCCAATATGTAGCACTCAGGCTGGGGAGTGGCATAGACTGAGCAAAGTAGGCAGGTAGCCAAGATGCATACAAGATAACCTAGAAGCTCTGCCTCCATCCAGTACCACACAGCACTGCTGGCTTTGATACTTGGCAAGGGAGAAGGGAAATCTGACCTTCCTAGGATTATGTTGAAATCCTCTGTACTTTAAATATGGCAACTGATCTAAAATAAAGGAGTTAAAGGTCAGATCAGGAATGACAGGTCATGACTGAAGTCCAGTTCCAAGTTTAAGAGTAACTTCAGCCACTTCAGTAGCAAATCATGGAGGGGTTAAAACATTTGTTTTTGAGACAGGGTCTGTGTAGACTAGGCTGGTCTTGAACCCAGAGATTCACTTGCCTCTGCGTCCTTTGTGCTGGGATTAAAGGCGTGCGCCATTACCAACTGGCTGAATTTAAACATTTTTAATTCAAGGTTCTACTGAAGAGAAATGGTGAGGCAACTCAAACCAGTATGTTCCCACGTCCCCCAACACTGTATGGAAGACCGTGGACTGACCTCAGCAATGGAGCATGTGCATGTCCAGTAACATACAAGCATTACTTGTACAATGGTAAAAGTAATGTGCCAGTTCAATTGGATGGTTTTTAAACTAGACAGCTCTAAAAACAGGAAGGCAAATAATTGCTTGGCAGCCAAACTGAAATAAACCTGACTTGCCAGTTTTACTGCCAGAATTCAAAATGATAGGAATAAAGAAGGGGCTCTGTTATCCTGCTGTGAGGTGTTTTTAATAGGATAGTTGAAATTAGCCAGCCTAGGGATGCAGTTCAGTTGGTAGGGTGCTTGCCTAGTATGTATGAAGCCCTGGGCGCATTCCCCAAAACTGTATAATCTAGGCACGACAGACCTGCAAAGCATGCGGAGGCAGGAGGATCAGAAGTTCAGAGTTATCTTTGGCCATATGAGGCTGTCTCAAAAGAGCAAAACAAACAAAAGCCTTACTAGCCTAGTAACTGAGAAACACTTCAGATGGAAACCTTTTGTTCTTTGAGAATAGGGTGTCATTATGTGGCCGTGGCTGGTCTGGAACTCATCATGTAGGTCAGGGTAACCTCTAGCTCACAGAGATCCACCTCTTGAATGCTAAGATTAAAGATGTATGCCACCACGCCCAATGACAAATGAAAATTCAAGGAGTTGAGTCCTGCTACATAGGTCTCCACAGCATCAAGGTGTGTAGAAATACTTCTAGAGGATTCCAGTCCTCCACAGCAGAGGAAAAAAGTGTTAACTGCCTCAGTCCAAACTCAGTCCTTGTGACCAAGACCCTGAGAGGAAGCATGCTTTCAGCACTAAGTAATCCAAATCACCAAGCCTAAATCCAGTCACTGGGTCTGGTGGCACACACCTATCATCTTGGCAATTGGGAAGGGGAGGCAGAAGGATCAAGAATTCAGGGTTATCCTTGGTACATACTGAATTTGACCCAGCCTGGGTTAACATGAGATCCTATCTCAAAAACAAAACAAAAAAAAGTAAATCTTAGAGTTTGACCCCTTGTCAGTCTGTACTTGGTGAGGAGCCATTCAAGAGAGGCCATTTCCACAGCTGCTACACAAGACAGTTGTGCCCACTCCACATCAGTCGTGGCTTTGTCTTTTGAGTCACCATGTGGCTGAATGCCAAGGAGATACCTGCACGTGGAACTCCACTTCAGACCACTAGAGTTTGTGTTTTCAGTATCCAGAAGGCCAAGTGTGGCTGCAGCTCATCCGCCTTTCTCAGGGTAGGGAACAGTGTTCACCTCCAAGTCCCCGTGCTGAGGCAGTACCAGAAACTGACCACCTCCCAGCCTGGCTCTTGAGCTCCAGAACACATTCATCCTTGGAGGCCTGAGGAAACACTACCTTGCCAACCAGCCAAAGTCGCATCTAGAACACTGAGAAGCAGTAGCAGATGAGGGAGCCCATGAGGAGAAACCACAGCTGCTAAGGTGTCTATAAATACAGTGACAAAATCCTGGATCTGTGTCAAAGCCTCAGAAAGCCATATACTGTCTAAAGTGAAATGGGGACCATGACCTGAAGCCGTGGACCAGAACCAACCTCGTGTCAAAGGCAGGAGTGACATGCTGTCAAGCCATCTTTGGTTACTTGGCTTCTACAGGGTTCCTTCTGGTGAGAGACCCCAGTGGTGTGGCCAGCTGAGAGACCTGAGTGCAGGGGACACAGCATCTAATCAATGCATGCACAGGGCTGATCCAGGTCCAGTTTACTGCAGTTTTGTTGCAAATTAAAAAGGAGCACTAATAACCAGAGCTTCTCCTGTTTAGGGAGAAAACATTTTTAAACAGGTCTCACATTTTCCAGACTGAGGAGTGCTCCATGTAGCACATGAGGCCCAGCAAAAGCAGCTGCAACAGGAGTCCCTGGGAGGTCATGACGATGGCCACCAGTGGGACTGGAAGGGACGCACATGGGGATGATTGTAAGGATGGAGGTGCACACTGCCTCTCGGGTATGGGTCTGGAACGGGATAGCCTTGCTCCTAAGTTCCAGTCAGAACTTAGGTCACCAAGCCCCTAGGCCCCAAGAGAGGTAACAGAGTGCTGCATCCCTTTCCAGGGGCGTTCAAGTTAATGGTGTGGCCGAGAAGAGCCAGTGGGCAGCTCCTGCCATACAAGTGGGGAATGGGCTAGGGCCTGCTTCATCTACTGCTCCCAAGGTTCTCATGGGCTATAGCCATTTGATACCTGCTTCACATCCAGGACCACTGTAAGGAAGGACCCCCAGGGACTCAATAAGCACTTCCTTGACAGAGGGGAAGAGGACAAGGGGCCACTTCTGCATCCCCCCAGAGCCCAGATGTGTCTTTCTCCAACTGACCAGAGCACTTTTCCTCCTGGTCCTTGTTCGGGAGCCTCCTCTCGGTTATTGGGCTCCAGGAAGCCAAGTAAAGGGCCTTGGTAGAGGTAGACGGAGGTGATGGCTGTCTTGTTCCTACACACACCAGTTCCCAGGCTGATTCTGCCACTCGGGTGTCATCTGGGCTTTGGCTACTTAGCCTCATCTTTTCCAGCCCCAAGGGTCTGGAGCTTTCTTCTTCCTGCCCAGACTGTTGATCCTTGGAAAATTAAGGACAACCCCTATTTGACAGCTACTTCCCCATGGAACCAAGAGCAGCCACCTCTGGAGAGCCAGGCTCCACCTCTGCTTGGCCCACTTCACACACTGCCCAGGGCTAGATGGGAATCACGACTGCCACCTGTTTCCTTCCTTCTGACACCAGAACGCTCAACACTCCAGCTCAGGCAACCATTTAG